GCCTCCGAGCTCGAAGACCAGCAGCCTGCAAGCGATTTCGAACAGTTTGTGTAGTTACCCTTCCACCAAACATCTCTCTACTTGTGGAGGTTGCAGTGACAAATCTGTTTCTAAGATGACGTAATCGTATTGCTTGATCTTCCTGGAGTGACGTCATACGTGGCGCCCCCGCCCTTGGGCGGTTGGCAATAGTTCCAGTTTGAAGCACTCTCATTCTAAGATTAATTATTGTCTGGCGTGAACAATTAAAGGCTCTTGCAACAGTGACCACAGACTGACCAGCATAGAGCCTACCTATAGCACGTAGACGTTCTACATTTGAAAGGCGCGGCATTTTCTAACAAAGATGAAAATAACAATTTTAATTTGTATTTCCAGTTCAAGTTACGTGTGCGTGTTCAGTTTAAGCAAACTTGCATCGATTGACCTCACAAGTTTGTGTTTGCACGTGTTTTTCATCTTTATATGCTCAAAAGTCACGTGATCCACGTGACTTTACAATTTTATGAAATTAAAGGCTTCTTACTACTTACTATCGTTAGAAACACTTTAAAATTTATTTGACTTACCAGAAAAAAAAAATTGTTGAAATCCATCAGTGTCAAGTTTTTAATTTGGCTGAGGATATATATATCCAGAAATATTAGCACAACCGTCAGGCTGCACTACTTTGTTTCACGGTAAACGATGAAAAGATAAAAGGTATGCCGTCACAAAACTGATTTAATAACATTTTAACATTTTAAAGTACTTTTCGTCCGTATTGGGACTATTCATAAATAATGTCATTGTATAAAGTATGGACAGTTTAGTGTATTTATACATATTCACATAGTAACACGGTGGTTTTAATTGGCTATAGTTACTATAGTCGATGGTTACATAGTATATCGGTAACTAATACACTGTTAGGAATTTATGTAAAATTACAGTAGTAGAAGTAGTGTTTGTACCATAATTGTCGGTATATTCTCCACAATATAGTAGTTTTACAAAGTCTGGCGTATTTTTATGGAGTTTCGTGTCTTTTTTTTTTACAATAGACGGTGATGAAATCAAAGACACATTCAAAATCAGTAAAAATACATTCTTACATATGTAATATATCCAAACTAAACTGAAAATAAATTAAGCAAGCATGTAATTTTACAGATCTTACGTTTATTCACATTGTTTTGTAAATTTACTTTTAGGTTAGAAATATAAATAAAATTACAGCAGTTCTCATTATAATAGTTAAAAACAAGATAATGTAAATGGAATATGCTGAAAATTTCTGTCAAATTGCTACACTCTGAACCGAGATAAATTTACTTTTAGGTTAGAAATATAAATAAAATTACAGCAGTTCTCATTATAATAGTTAAAAACTAGATAATGTAAATGGAATATGCTGAAAATTTCTGTCAAATTGCTACACTCTGAACCGAGATATTAGCGATTGAATGTTAGGCCTAGCCTCGATCATCATTACTAATGTCGGTAAGATAAAAAATCATAGTCTTGATTATCCATTTTTGAATTTAATCATCAATAAGCGTTGAGCCCCAGATCGGACTCAAATCCGACACATAAGATGGCATCGAGAGTTGATTATGGTCTTTTCATGTTAATAAAATGTCTAATTCATAGTTTATATAACACATAAGGTCTAAAGAAAGACCTGTAAAAGACAGATTTAGTTCTTGCAGAATATATGTTTAACTTATTGGTAGTTATCGTATTCGGTATCTTTATTGTCTCTTAGCATGCAATTTTAGAGATTTTACGTTTACTCACATTATTTTGTAAACTTTCAGGCTAGAAATATAAGTAAAACTACAGCAATTAAATTAATTTTTTTTTACCAAAAAATGTTCGAAATATTTACCAAAATGATATTTACCAAGTTTCATTCTTTTTTTTACAATAAACTTTGATGTAACCAAAGGCACATTAAAACCCGGTAAAAATACATGCTTACATGTAATATTTCAATATTGAACTGAAAATAGCAATACCAGAAGGAAATTTTACAGATTTACGTTTATTAACATTATTTTTTAAATATACATATTGGTAAATTTACTGTTTCTTATTTTATTTTAGTATTCCATAGCAACGAACCATTTCTAATAATTATCTTCTTGTATTAATTCTAATTTATTAACCATAATATGGCAGGCAATCACATTTTGTGAAATTTGGTATATTCCATGTTATGTATATCTAATTTCCTTTTTTATATGATTTATAACGTGTATTATTATTCATCGTACGTTAATCAGATTGTAAGTTTGTTCATAAACGTATAAAAAACGTTTTGACTTTCCGGCCATACGTTGTATTATCTCGTAATCAAGCTCACTTGAAGACGGTTAATTAAACCGATTGGCCAGTGTAAGCTGGATTGTCTCTAGAGCAGAGTTTCAATGCCAGCTGTAGGCAGTACCTCAAGCTTACATCTGAAAGCCTGGAACCGCCGCAATCACTGACGAGCGGTTGTTTCAACCTGCGTTACATGATTAATCTACCAAACAGGATTAGTCTTATGTTTACGCAACAACAAGCGGGGTGTTAAATGCCTCTTATTCAGTTGAGATTTTATTTCTCTTACGGTGAAATTGTTGTTAAACTAATAAACTAAAAAAAAGGAGGTAGATGGAAGTTAAAGTCATTGTGTTTTTTTTAACATTTGTCTGTAATTTTTCATTTACTGCTTTTAGGTAAATTTACATTTGAAAGTTAAAAAACAAACTTACTGTAACCGTTCATTTAATGTGTTGCGGTGAATTTACAGTCTAAAGTTAAAAAACAAACTCATAGTTATATTCCATTTACTGTTTTCGGGTAAAGGTACCAATACAGTCAAATTACAGAAACTCTGTAATATTACAGCTGAATGTTTATTTACAGTAAATTTACTGGCAACTTTTGCTGCCAGTAATTTTCATGCAAATTTACCAGATTTTTTCTAATAGTGTAGAAAACATGTACATACGTGTGTTAATCTGTTGTATATAGGTACAATTTAGAGACAATGAGTGGAAAATAATCCTGGGATAGATTTTAAAAAATTAATGAAGTTAATAGCGTATTTTTACTCATTTACTATTAAGTCGAAGTCGAGGAACGTATTTTTTTAATAAAATGGTTTCCCTTTAATTTCCTTTTCGTGATGCCATCGGCTTTCATTTTATAAAAAGAAAAGATTGGAAATTTTACTTGTAGGTGTTGTGCCTATTTACAAATAAGGGCCCATTTTCAATATTACAATCCCGTCGATGGTTGCGCACTCTATCCCGAAGATGGGTGCCCGTCTCCCCGATGTAGAAATTCAGACAATATAAAATAAATAAAAGATTCTACTCTCAGGTAAAAGTATATAGAAATATGAGGTATTTAGAAAGAAGAAACTAATTTCATCTAAGCTTGCGCTTTCACCCAATACGGGAATCATCAGGCACTTAACTCCCCATTTCATTTATGTAGACTTGGTTTTCTTAGATGTTTAGGAGAACTGAAAACGTTAGCTAAATAGGTTTGTTTCTTTTATCAACGTAATTTTGACATACGCCAGTGGGAACGAAATTCACATGTGGTTTAGGGTGGGGTGGGGGCGTCAGCGTAACAAGCCACAATCGGGTTCGGGGAGGGGAGGGGGCTTTATTGAAAAAAAATATAATAAACATATGGTTGCGGCCATAGGATATATGTAATTCAAACCAAACACAATAGTAAACCGTATACAAATACCACGAACTCCCAAGGGCTGATCCAAGATTGTATGTGGGAAGTGGATCCAGCGCTTTAAGGCGGCCCCATATTCTGTGAATGAATAAATTTAAGTTTCATATGAACATTGGATAATCCCACAGGGGATATTTTCCTGCCATGCTTACGGGTTCCACATAGTGTTAGACGAACGGCCCCCAAATTCTTAATGGTCCACTGTCACAGCATGTCCGTTCTGCTGGTACACTGGAATGTTGATTTACTGACGCTATTTTTCAAAGAAATAAACGCCCGTTTTCTACTTTCGAAAGATATTACAAAAACTTACATTTTAAAAAATCCTTGGGGATTCGCAAATGTGGAAAGGTATATGTCAATGTTGATGCTGGAAACTCCTGTAGACCCCAATTCGACTAATAATTGCATACTGCGGGGCACTTTTGTATCGATGCATTTTGCTTATCGACTACTTAACCGATTTTTAAATTTTCAAATCCCCCTTTTAACAGAAACTTTTTTAATATCCTTTACATTATACCTTACTGGGTTTGTTTGCAGCATATAGAATGAAATTAAGTTTATATGCAATATTTTGCGATTCTTTATAAGATTAAAGATACTTTCCCACAAACGTATTTATCGGGTGGTTATTTCTAATAAAAGTATGACAATTTTGGTATATATGGAAAATAGAAACATCCTATATTACAAGAAAAATACTGGATTCCCTGAAAAAACACCCACGGAGCGCATACAGGACAAAAATGTAAGGGATTCCCCAACCGGCAAACCGACGATTAAGGATGTCTGCTCGAGTGACGTCAAAGGTTGCACGCGAAGACTATCTGATAAGTGAGCAATTGATGTATATCTTGATAAACTTGATGGTGAGCCTTACCATACAACAGTTTCTGAGATAAAAAAGAAAAACACGGAAAGAGACGCGGAAAATGAATAATCCGAGAATTTAATTAGGTTTCGATATTTACGATAAATAAATAGCGAGTAAAGACAACATCGTCTTGTATATGCAATGAATTCTCCTCCGGCTTCTCACCCGTTGCTAGGTACCACGTCAGCCAAGTCACGTGACACTAACATGACCTCTTTTAATATATTTTTTATAGCAGGGGTATTCCCTCACGAAAACAGTGTTTTGAAGCAAAATTTTGATAGATTAATTAGTTTGAATATGTTTTAGTCCAAATATATCATCAAATCACTCAGTTTGTACGCGGGAAGGTATCTTTAAAGAAAAAAATAACAACCAAAAAACAATTGAAATACTCAGTATTTTACTCACACGCCGACCACTTGTAACAATACGTATATATATAATAATTCCATATTTTCACATAAAAGAATCTTTATCGTATCATATAACATGTATTTTTGAGAAACAATCACTTCCCGATAAATTCTCGAAGTCTTTTATTGTTATGTATAACCGGAAATATCTGCGAAGATACAGCTCTTGCAAACCGCTTAATTATCAGATCAGTTAATTTTGTTTGACCACTTTTATTATTACTCGACTGCTGCATACTGCTGGGGTGTATAGCTATTTTGCCGTTCTTATCTAAAGTGCTTTGACGTCTTTTTCCAAGGAAATCTCGAAGACGTTTTGTAACTGCTGGGTAGTCGCTGTTATATGTGACCGGCCTATCCAAGTATTCCATCGAGTCTCCCCGTCGCACAGATCGTTTATCGAAAAAGTAACCATGTCGCCATGATTTATTCTCGGATATCTTTTCAGGAGAAAATGACACCATCCTCTTATCAACAGTATTCCTCAGTCTTTTGCCTACCAAATTTCTAATTCGCTTCTGATTTAACTGATGTTTGTTGCCCATGATCCGTGTTTGTAATTTCTGTCGTTGAATTTCATGCCAGTTATTTTTCACGTATCGGTCACCATAGGTATTACACCATCCTTTGCTTGGTACAACCACTTCTTGTTTAGAGTATTGAAATAAAGATCTCTTTCTTCGTCTGTGTTGTAATTTCGACATGTGATCTGGTTGTGGACTAGATATTCGTTTATCTTCTTTTTCATTGTTTTCATTTTCCCCCTTATTGCCTTGTTTTCCAACAACCATGCCAAATCTGTTTCCTACATGGACATCACGTCTGCTGCGTGGGTGTTCAAATAAAAATTTGACAAGACGTTTCGTCATTACATTTTGCAAATGCTTATCTTCATTTAAATCAGTCACACGAATCCCGAACCCTCGCTTACCAATAAAATTGCGAAGTCTTTTCTTTACCTCTTCCTCATTTTGGGTGGATATTTGTTTATCGAGAATTTCGTTGTGTTTCTGTTCCTTAACAAACTTCAACCCATGTTTTCGAACAAAACTATTAAATATGTTACTACTGTGGTGTCGTTTTCCAATGAAATTCCTCAAACGTTTTCTGTCTACATTAGCAATCATGTTTTGTGGATTGACAAAATGCTGACCCCTGCCATAACTTTCTTCTCGTTTTCCTACAAAATTTCTTAAGCGTTTTCTAATGACATTTCGTAAAATGTCATTTTTACTGCTTTGAACTACATCACGCTTTCCAACAAAATTTCGCAAGCGTTTTCGAATAAAAGTTATAAACGGTTTATTCGTGTCTGGTTCTGTATAGGGAAAGTCATTTTTTTCCTTCTGCACGATTCTTGTTTTTTTATCACGAAAAGATTCAAAATCAGGTTCATCACTGTAACGTTTACCCACAAAATTACGCAATCTTTTCCCAACAAAGTTACGCAGCCTTTTCTCACCAGAAATTAACCGACCGTTCCCTTCTTTTTTTTTAGCTCGTTCATCCACAAAAAATCGTTTAAATTTTCTTACACGTTGGTTCTCTGATTTTACTATTTCATTTAGACATAATATTCCTATTGTTAATATGAACAGCACATTTCGTCTTGACCACATCTTTCTTTGACTATTTGCTCTGAAGTAACTAATAAATGTAAATAGGACTCCACCTTATATCACAAGATTGACGTGTGTATGAGGGTTGTTCTATCATCAAACTATAAACCCACACACTTCTACGATCTATAACCGCTAAAACTAAGGTGCTTGCTGATATAATATTTAGAGGGGTGGTCTGTAAAAGACCACACATATAGAGATCCACTCGATAAACATATAATTGTCAATCTATCATAACAGACAGAAATTGCTCTAGCACGCTTCACATTACTAAAACTTAGGAAATGGCAACCGAGGGCGTATATTCGTGCGTTACGCCGGTTGGTATAGGGATATGATTGACAGACATGTCAACCACCGAAGTCGCGTGTTATTGATTAATTGGAATATCGGCAAAACTTTTATCTACAAAATTGTCGTTGGTAAGTCTTTGCCTTTGGGATAAATGCCATGTCTTAAATAGGTGGAGTTGTCAACTATCAATCTCGGTATTCCGAATTTAATTTTCAGAAGCCACCTTTTATCCAGTTCAAGATGTCAGCCACACAGGAGATGGAAAAAGGATTCCAATGCACAAGTTTTCAAAAATAACGAAAGGCATCGAGAAATCATTTATTGGTTTCGCGTAAGCATGACAGGAATTTCTATGACCCTCCCACCCCCCTGTACATTATGTTTTTCGTTTGCAGTCAAGTAATTTTGTGCTTAAATTGAGAGTTATAGACTTAGAAATGAAATGAAATAAAATGAAATGGGGTATAACGTCCTACTATTCTGCTCCGAACTGGGCTAATGAAGACGGGAATACGCCATACAGTGTGCTATGAGTATGAGGGAAATTTTGCTCGGACAGTGGCACTACGGCCTACTTTTATATTATATCGAATTCCAACTGTCAAGGGATCTTTTACGTGCACGCCAATGTGTACACGGGGCCTTGGGTTTTCGCTCCATTCCAACGACTAGACAGCTGGAACCACGCTGGAAAATCTGGACGAACTTTCTCGGCCTATGCAGGGATCGAACACCCGATCTCCAGGCTAGCGAGCCAGCGTCTTACCCACTTAGACACCGTGACCCCCTATAGACTTAGAAGCGACTTGTAAAACTATTGTATTTCAAATGATTAGCAATGATTGTTTTTTTTCCAATTGTATATTTGTTGTGGGAAGAAATAAAATCTACAAAGACAATAATAGATTTAAAATATTGTTAAAAAATCAAGGGAAGGTACGCCCAGTCTGTTGTACTATGGTAAGTATAAAATACTCTCTAAATTAAGTTGATCTGTATAGCCTATTCCTCATGAAATCACTATAAGATTATTTTATTCAATTTCCAATTCCCCATTAAAATAAGATAAGAATGAGATAAGAATAGTCTCAACACTGATATTCTCTATCACCCAGACAATTATTTATGGTGGCTGTTAGCGGCCATTCTAAATCCTCGACTTGTCTGATTGAAAAGCGATAAGTCACGGAACGACAAAATCAACCCGACAACACGACCGTCTTCATTAGCCCAGTCTGAGCAGAACAGTAGGACGTTAAAACCCACTTCATTTATTTTCCGACGACGCGAGAATATTACCCGACAATCGCCGCCTTCGTTTTGTTGTCTTTTCGGGTCAATCGCCGCCTTCGTTCTGTTGTCTTTTCGGGTTACTTTTGTGGACTTGTCGCCTTCACAACCAGACAAGTCGAGGAAAACAGATTTGTCGACTGGTCGTGCCGTGGTTTGTCGCATTCAAAATCCGAGAAAGATTATCTTCGAACATAATCAGTGCGCATGAGCAGACCTTCTTCAGTTAAGTATGAAAGCCAATAGCGGCCATTTCATAATTTCGACTGCACAAGGGCGAGGGAGCGAAAGTGAGAGAACGAGAAGAAACAGGACGCGAATGCGAGCTTCTCGCCACGAGATTATTTTACCTCGACTTCCCACGTTTGTTTTTTAGCCTTTGGATGTCCTCGCTTTCTCACTCTCTTGACTTCTCGCCTCGGAAGTTCAATTCGTACGCATGTTTACTGATAGCCACCAACAGCACAATTTAACCGTACCAACGCAAATCGACCAAAATCCACAATAATCTACAAATATTGTAACTCAGATCACATTAGGTATCATCATATGTCGTTATTTGAACGTTCGTGGTGACAATGTGTTACTTTTCTTATTAGAAACTATAGTTTTTAAAGATCAAAAACAAACTCTTTGGGGACAGACCATGGTTATGTAAACTACGGCACAGTTTATCAAGCAATCTACGTTTCTGCACCAATGCAGTGTGCTATGGGGAAAAACTTTGATGGTGCCACACTGGAAAGGCCCGGAGTAACTTTTCCGCCAGCACTGGGGCAAAACTAAACTTCTTGGGGACAGACCACGGTTTTTTTAAAGAGAGAGAGAAATGAGGTTTAACGTCCACTCGACACAAACTAGGTCATTTCGGGACTAACATATGGTTTAATTTTATTTCAATAATTCGCTTACGCGTAGGGGTCTCTAGCAGTGGGAGGAAACCGGAGGACCTGGAGAAAACCCACGAGGTTGGACAGGCGACCCTACTCCTTGTCACGTACAACCGGGGATTCGAAACCACGCCAGTCGACTCAATGACAGGCTTAATGATACAGAGCGCGCACGCTAACCATTCAGACATCCAACCCCCCCCCCCCACGGTTATTTAAACTACAGCATAGTTTATCTAGCAAACTACACTTCTGCACTAATGCAGTGTGCTATGAGGAGAAACTGTGCCCAGACAGCGACTCTACGGCCTACTCTTATTTAAAATTCCAACTGACAAGGTTCCATTACGTGCACACCATCATGCACTGGACCTCGGTAAAGTCACGCTGGGCCGAGATCATCTGGTTAGTGAACCAACGCTACCGCGTAAAAGTCAGGAAGATTTGAAATTAGGGTGTGACCAAGAAAAAGCCTTAGCGTATTCCGTAATAGAAAACTGCCGTATTGTGATGCACATAAGAAGACTAAAAAGAACAATCTGGATCATCCCTAGAAAAATGAATTTAAATTTTAAATATAATAGCAAAGATAGCATATTGTATTCTAAATGTCGGTAGCTGTAAATCTAACCCAAAAAACTTTACAATCCTATCTGTGTAATTTTTAGGTGTGGCATGCAAAAACAAATGCAAAATAATTACTGTTTTATCGGTTGTTTTGAACGGTTTATGTATAAACTTTTTTAGAAAAAGATAGATTGCCAGGCAACGAAACATTCGTCCACGGCAGCTAAATCGTCCGCGCACTCCACAAGGGTCGTCACTTTCTTGTCGGTAATGAAAGAATTTACAAAACACTAAAGATTGATAAAGAAACCATTACAATTTAGCTGTTGAAGTTATCGGAAATCGTTAAAAATCAATAGGACTCTTGCTCTCATGACCTGAAACACTGTGTATAAAGTTAAAGTCGATCGGTCCCTAGAGTGTTAACCAGAATCTTCAAAGTCATCAAGGGCCTAACTCTGGCAGTAATTATCAGAAAATTGTTTACAGACGGACAGAACGGCCGATGGAGAGACGGTAATATATTCGGCTGTATAAAAATCCTAATTTTTTTTTTTTTTATGAAAATTCATTTATAGTTCACTTTCTGGTGTTATCTTTCATATTCTTCAATTATAGCGTCTCCTAGCCACACGCCTCCATTAGCTCAGTAGGAGTAGAACAGGGTTGTCATGATGTCGGGTTGTCGCCTTCCCAGAACTACGATAGAAGCGACCATGCTCATCTTAGAATTATGTACACTGTTCTGGTGTTGGTCAAGAAAGTTCCCTGGGATTTTGCGGCGTGGTTCCCCCCTGTCGGTAGTGCAGGCCGAAGGGGTTGGCAAAGAACAGTGTCTAGCTGTGTAGATGGGACCATAACACAAGCTCCTGTGTACACATTGCCGTGCACATAAAAGAACCCTTCGCAGTTGGAAGTTGATGAAGGAATGCACTGTCCAGGGAAAGTTTCCCTCATGGCACGCTGCTTGGCGTATGTCCTTCAATAGTCCGAGTGGTGCAGCAAAGTAGGACGATAAACCCCATTTTATTGTCTCAATTTGTAGAAAATATTATAAGTATATGATATATTATAAAAAAAAATAGAGAAAAGGTAACCATGAAAATGTAATTTAATACGAATAACAATATCATGGTGGTATTGAATTGTATTTAATCGCAAAACATAAAGATATATATGGAATGGGGTTTAACATACTCTGTCAACACATGCAATACTTCAGTATTTCGTGAGAATAACATGTGGTTATTTTTATTCTATGACTGTTTGTAAAATGCAAGGAAGCAGAATTTTGCCCGGGCAGCGTCTATCTGTCCACGCTTCTTTGATTTTGAGCTGGCAAGGGTTATTTTACGTACATGGTAAGTACATGGTTCTTTTACGTACATGCTACATACAGGGTTCTTTGCTTGCCAGAACAATATTAATTACAAATATTTACACAAGATACCGGTACATAGAAAAAGAACCCTTTATTCATGTTTTTAACAATTACAGATATTAACAAATTTAACAATCCGATACAGGAAAACAAGTTCTTTATTCATTCTTAAGCACCTTTTATTCGCCCACATTTTCAAGGGGACGTTTTATGCCGTTCGGGGGGGGGGGGGGGTCACGGTGGCTAAGTGGGTAAGACGCTGGCTCGCTAGCGTGGAGGTCGGGTGTTCGATCCCTGCATTGGCCGAGAAAGTTCATCCAGGTTCTTCCGGCGTGCCCCCCCCCCTTGTCAGTGATGCAGGACGGAGGGACTGACAAGGACGGATGTCTAGTCATTCGGTAGACGAACAACCGAGGTTCCGTGTACACATTGGCGTGCACGTAAAATATCCCTAGACAGTTGGAGTTCGATAAAAGAGTAGGCCGTAGTGCCCTGTCCGGGCAAAATTTCCCGCATAGCACACTGTATGGCGTATGCCCGTCTTGATTAGCCCAGTTCGGAGCAAACCAGTAAGCCGTTAAACTCCATTTCATTTCATTTCATTTTCTATG